GACTTCCATAGTCTAACTTCAGGTTTTGTTTGTTGGCTCTTTGGGTTTTTGTGGGTTGTTTGTTTGTTTCATGCACACATCTTTGCGTTATGGTTAGTTTTAAATGCTTGGCAGCTTAGATTTAACTTTTCTTCCTCCCCCTTAGGGAGATGGGTAATGCATACATTTACTGGCTGATTGCTTTCAATTGTTCTGACATTTCAGCATCTTCAGTATCTTTGTGCAACAGAACTGAATTTCTTAAATTGCACATTCAGTCTCCTGTTCTTGAATGCTGTGGTACAAGTAATGTAATGCCAATCCAGTTGATTGTGAAGTTAAAGGTTTTTGCAGCCTAGTGTCCTTGTTTGTGGTAGAAGGTGACACATTAATAAAATAAAATTTTTAAAAAAAGAGCCTTGGCTTCATTATTGCTCTTCAAACTCCATCAGATAAAATGCAAATCTGGCAATTTTCTTTTTATAGGTACTTTCCCAAGGAGGGAGACTTGGGATTCTATTTGAGATGGGGAAAAAATGAAAGGCAGAAGATTTGTGTAACATAATAGTTGGTAGGATGTGTGGCCATAAGGTGGTTTAGGAGTGTTACATTAAGAACATTTGCTTGCCTGTATTTCTGCAGTATCATTGGCCTGTCAGATGAATTAATCATAACATTGCAAAATATAATTAAACAGAGGTTTTTTAATGCTGCTCTTATTCAATATACATTTTAACTAAGAGAGGATTTGAATTTTAAATTGACTGAGGGTTTTGTGGGCATGGAGAACTTCAGCTTCCTGGAGTCACCAAATCCAGGTGTTTCTGCAGTGTTTGAGACTACTTTTTAATTTTTTTTCTTAATTTCTCCTGAATAATCTTGGGTCCAACAGACTAATGTTTCTCATGGTCTGTGTGTTGATTTCAAATTTGTGCTTATATCAGCTGAAAGTGTATCTTTAGGATCAAGTCTAAACACTTTTAATTTTATACAGTCATTGGCTTCTGTAGGACTAATTATATAGTTACTGTTGTGCTTAGATGTTTTTTGAGCCCTACTCTGCTAAAACAATACTAGAAAAACTGGCTAGGACAGTCTGCACATATTATGAGTTAGGAGAGCAGATCTGGGTTTTGCAAGAGGTCGGTGGTTATTTTATTGACCATCTAGATTCTAGATAAAATTTTGCAACACTCTGAGCAAAGAAAACCTCTGCACCAATATAATGGATCATCAGATTTGAATGAAGAATGTTATAACATCAAGAGAATGTCCAAGTGTAAATTTGCCAACTAAGCCTTGCCTTTTAGTTTCAGCCTGTAGTGCATGCAGAGTGTGAATATAAAAATGATTGTAGGGGATCAATTAAAAGGCCAGTGTGTTTTAGCAGCATGTTTCTGACAGTAAGCAGCAATGAGTGCTTAGGGAAAGCTGTAAAACCAAGGCAAACATGATGTTAACATGATTTTACTGCTTTATTGCACAGTCCTGTCACCTGACAGTTTGGACTTTTGTTTTTCCTTTTGATTATGGCTTAAATTTATACAAGATACCTTCCAGCTTCTGATAGTTCTGCCTCCAAACTCTGACTGATTTCCTAAAACGCTTTCCTTTAGGAATTCCAGTAAGTTGTCTTTTAATCATTGCAGTTAGTAAAGACTTAACTCTTTCTGTTAAAAAGAAACTAAGCTGCAATCATCTTTGGATTTTTGTAGTTCCTTTTTTTAATTTAACCTTAGTAATGGTGTACTTCTCACTTCTCTTGTTTCTGCAGAGATAGTGAATTGAAATACCCTGTGATTCATGAACAGTCATGGAGTCTTCTATTTAGTCTTCACATAACATCCCCAGTTTAGAGTTTTCTGGTCTAAACTGGTTAAGCAAAGGATTCCTAAATCTCACTTCTAGAAGTGTTGCAATCTTAAATCGTTGTGGTTCTGCATTTAGCAGCTTTCCTTGCTTCTCAAGTCTATTAACACTTACAGAACCATTCTCTGCCAGCAACATGCTTCCGTTTTGGTTGAGATGAAGTCTGTCTTGTTTATAGACGAACAGTCTATTCCAGAAGTTCCTTCCTTTTTTCTTACAATATTTTCTCAGTCATGCGTTGGTTGTTAGTCTTCAAAAGGTACCTGAATTGCATAAGCTTAACATCTATGTTTTATTTAGTATAGTAGATTAACTAATACATTTTTTGCTAATTGTGAAAACATTTCTGAAGTTGAATTAATTTTTCAGTTTGGATAAAAATTAGCATTGCTTGTTTTTAAAAAGTTGCAAGTACATTTTATATATGAAAGTTGTAGAAATCACTAAAATCTTTCTCCTTAGAAAATTCTGAACTGCTGAGTCTATTCTAATACAGCTTTGCAATGAATGGATGAAAAATCGCTTGGAAGAAAAGTCATACTGTCTTCCAACTCTAATCAGATTTTTTGTTTTATTATTGACAAATAATGGGTCTCTTTTCCTACTTTGGAGTTCTCGTTTTCATGATGGAAAAGTGGAACCTTTGCTCCCCAGCCTCTTAAGGCTTTATTTTCAGGGAGTTGTTTTCAACATATATATACTTCAACATACATATATTTCAATATATACCACTGTCACAGTATTATTATATTTTCTTCTAATGTGGAATTGTATAGTGTTGTATGGGGGTACAGCTAAGGGACTTCAATGAGATTGTGCTGATGTGATTTTTGTCAAGCCAGCCTAGAAGCCACAGCTGGTTTGATACTGCCTGTTGTGTTCTACACTCCTTGTCCAGAACAGAGAGCTAGTGCACGCTATAATTATGGTCTTGCCCAGCTCTAGGTTTTATATTTGCAGAAGAAAAGGCAAAGCTGTTTTTTAACCTATATCTTTCCAACATGTGTGGTTGGGGTGTGGCTGGATGCACATACAGTGGCAGAAATTTCATTGTATTCTTGAAGATTCCAGTTCAGGTATAACTACAGTACTGCTCTTTAGATCATTGACAGTAGGGTGGGATTCTGTCACATGGATTTTGTGGACTAGAACTTTGTACTTCATTTATCTCTCCAGCTACTGATAAAATCAGGAAGAGTCTTAGGGGTGCTATCTTCAGAACAGGATTGTATTAAAGACTGTTTATGGGTGTTGGTTGTAGGACTGTGCAGGCAAGAAAACTGTGCATCCCTTCTGCACACAGTTACCCCATTCTGCTGAATATTAGAATCAGAGAGCCTTAACCTAAAAAGGGTTTGGCAGAAAATTCTTCCATGTGAATGCTTGCATTTTTCTGTAGTGTTATGAAAGGAGCCATGGTGGAAAATAGAAAACAAAGCTTGTTATTGTGAAAACTTTCTCAAGCTGTGCTTAATTATTTTTTTTTTTAATAAGCTTTTTAATTTTGGTTGGGGATGTTTATTTTTAGTTAGCTTTATTCCATTTTTCATTCAGTTCAGTAAGAATGCCAGTCCTGCAACCTAGATCTTTCTGCCTCTCACAGCTAGAGTTTGCAGAATATAGCATCAGCAGTAGGTGCCCTGATCTAAAGGAAGGCTCTGTGATACTTCAGCTTGAGAATGTTTCTTAGAAATTATGGAGTAATGGAGTGACAGCCAGTTAGCTCACAAATTTCACGTATTCTAGACTTCAGGAAGCGAAATTGAGGCTGCTTCCAAAAATAACACCACTGGAAGGTATTGTTTCAGTGCACCAGTTCATTTAATTGATGGGCATCTGCAGCACAGTGTGGATGACCTTCCCCATCACTAAGCCCACTGATGACTGACTGTCCATGCACTTCCTGAGGGCACATTCTATCCTGTTTTCCAGGTTGTTGATGAAGATACAATATTGGTTCCAGTGTTGGCCCTGAGAAATGCTACTCAAAGCTTATTTGCCAGTTATACTTCATGATGTTGAGCTCTCTTCTTTGAGCCTCTTGGTGACTTTGAGCAACTTTTCCAGCCATTTTCTAGTTGGTTTTTTTCAGTCTAGTGTAGAACAAACTGTATGTTTATTCCAATGATAATGTGAAGTAGAGACACTATTATTTCATTTGAGTGTTAAAAATTAAGAACTAAAGCCTGAAATAGCAAGGGCTCTGTGTTGCTGCTTTGTTAAAAGACTGTTCAGCATTTCTGAAAACCACATCCTTTTGAAAGGTCTTGAGTTGGGAACAGAGTTAATTTCAAAAAAATAGACAGTCATTCTCAAGTAAATGTCTTTTTCTTCCAAGATAGTTTCATGGACTTTTTATGACCGAGGTTTTGGTAGTTAACCGAATAATTTCCAGGATTCTTGGGTCACATCTCCCTTGACATTTTGGGTCTCTTTAAAGATTTTATATAGTGAGATGGTTTGTGGTTTTGTAGTGCACTGTTTTTTTGTATCTTCTGCAGCCAGATTTGCATACTGTAGTCGTGCATTGTCAAATACAATTCTAGTTAAAGTATTACATTTCCATTGTCAAAATGTCCTTTCCTGCTTTTAGACTGGGCTGGATTCCATAAGTTGTTTTTTTTTTATAGCATTTGGCATTTTTTTTTATGACTTCATTATCATTTTAGCTAATTTACAAATATGTACCTGGAGAATGTCTCTGTTACTGTGCTGGCAGGAAAGATTTTTATTTCTTTAGCGAAATAAATGTGTAAGGCTCTTTTGCAAACTTGGCTTTAGCATTGCAGATTTTGTACAATGAAATGAGGTTCTAATGGAGCTGTCAAACAGGAAAAGTAATGTTTATTGGGTTTGTACCTTGACTTACTATTGTGCCTAGAATAGGAGGAAAAAATAACAAACAGTTGCACAGAATAAAAACTGACACAGGAGGGACAATCATAGTTAATTATAAGTTGTATTTTAAATGTTCTTAATTATGTAGTGGGCAATATATTTTTGAATTCCTGTCGTTTTTCTATTTGCTGTTATAATTACTTATCAAACAATGATCTTTTAGTATTTGAAGTCTTATGTATCAATTCCGTGCAGTACCATCTGGAAAAATTGAATTATTTTACACTTCTTGCAACACCTTAATTTTTAGGAGCATGACAAGAATAACAGTGGGTACTGTTATCTCCTCTTAAATGCAGGGAAAATTTTACTAAAAAAGGATTTTTGTGGTTGTTTTTTTCCTTCTAGATCTTTCAAAGAACAGATTTACTGAAATTCCTTCTGATGTCTGGCTGTTTGCACCACTGGAGACTTTAAATTTGTATCACAACTGCATCAAATCCATTCCAGAATCTATTAAAAACCTACAGATGCTTACCTACCTGAACATTAGGTGAGTAATGCTTCTTATTTTTGGCCTTTGTGTAATTTACCTTGTTGGAGAGCTGACATTCTGCTTCACCAGGTCATTGAGTGCCCTTATGCCCCCATTTCTGCCCAGATTATTCTGGGCAGACAATTATTCTGTTTTTAGTTTGCCTGACTCTTGCTGTTCTAGTTGTTTCTTTCTTTGTGGGAAGGAATTGACTACATTATGAAACTTTAGTCAGTAAACTATGGTTGCTGAGGATAAGGAGAGTTTACAAGTTTTCTATGTTTTTTCATGTTATGCAGACAGAAACTGCGCATGTAAAACTTTGCAGCTGTCGAGAGAGCAGAGCTCTCTGGCCACAAGGCCCTACTCATTTTGCACGTTATTTACATGTATTGCTACAGAAGAAAACCACATGATCTCAGATTCTAATTTTGGATTCAGATGACTGAAGAAATGTGTTGTGCAATTCATAGTAAAGTAGGCAGTCTTTTAAAAAGAAAACCAGCAAAAAACCCAGGGAAAAATGAAGTGATGCAGCGAATGACCATTTTATTGCCACATTTTTTAATAATACCTTAAAAAAAGGTAGCTTACACATCATATTTTTGCTTCTCACATTCTCCAGTAATAAAAGCCTGTCATATCTACCTGAAATACATTTTAAAAGAGATCTGTTGCATAGCTACATCCACCATTTAGTTGTATTGTGCTCTTACAATTAACAGAATAAAGATACTACTTCTATAAAGATACTGATCAAAGTTTACTTTCGTTTTATGGTGTTAAAATTGTAGTACTACTTTGAGGGTGAAATGTTCCAAGGACATACATTATAGCCCTATAAACTGTAGTCATGGTGAAGAAGAATGTAAAAAGTGTTGTGTTTTTCTCAAATATGAAAAGAGTGCTCTGTTACATATCAATTAACCAGTAAAACTTACGGGTTTTTGTCAATAATAGTGTGAACACAAATATCAACACTGAATAGGTTATATTTTTTTTAATTTCCTTTTTTCAAAACAGAATTTCTGGCCTCTACAGAATTATATTTAAAGCAACAGCAATTACTAAAATTTGTAATTCTGTTTGTAAGGAGTTGGTTTGATAACCACATCTGAACCAGCTAGTTTTCCAAAGGCTTATTTTCCATGTGCAAGTATAGGTAATATACCTATATAGGTCATACGCACAAAATAAATTAATTTGAATTAAAGCTTTACCTTTCAGACTATTGCTCAGCAAAGTAATAAATAGATATTAAGGGCTTTTTGTGATAGCTCAGGAGTGACATGACCACATGACATGACAATGGCTTCGTGTAAAGTTTTGGTTTGCTGAGAACATAAACTTCATTTTGGTAGACTATCAGCTCAGGTCTTCTTTCTGAAGGTATCAGAAAAAGCAATAAAAGCAACCATCAAACATTTTTTCTTTTGATAGATTAAACTGTACATTTTAGTGTTAGGTTCAGTCATAGTACATACTTATTTAATCAAGTGAGATAGGAGCCTAAAATCACATATCTGAGAGGTTTTATCTGGTAAGGAATTAATAATGGTGATTATAGTCTGAATTTGTAACAGGTGGAGAGTATCTGCTAGAATAGGAGAAAAACTGTACAGTGTGCATCTCACACTCCTCATTAGGTGTAAAAAGAAGGTTATAATCTAGTCTTGCTTGTTCATTTTTCTTTCTTTCAAGTCGAAATCTTTTATCAACGTTGCCAAAATACCTGTTTGATCTTCCACTTAAAGTTCTGGTTGTTAGTAATAATAAGCTGGTCTCCATTCCAGAAGAAATTGGAAAGTTGAGAGATCTAATGGAGTTGGTAAGTATAATTGTGAACCATTTTACTAAGTAAACCTCAACAGTAAACTGTTTATTAACAGTATAGAAACAAAAATAAACAAATTAATAATTTTAAGTTTAGAACTACATAATATAAATTCAGTTCCTGCACTTTCTCAGTGTTTGAGCTCAAATGACAGGTGTATAATATGTTGTAGAGTTTCAAAAATAGGGTTAAACACAAACTGTATGTTGGGTTAACTTTAGCTTAAATTGTTAATAAAGAAAATGTTCAGATTATTTCATTTGAATCCCTGGCATCTATGTTGCATTGTTACCTAGTCTATGAAACTAGTCTTTTAAGTCAATTTATGTAATCAGAACTAGTAAAGGTTTGAAAGGGTTTTATATCAGTGTGCTTGTTGACTCAGTCTGGTCTACGTACATAAATGTTAAATTAGTGGCAGAAGCAGCTACAGTCTGTGTTCACTTGGTGCAGCTTTGTCACCCTCTAGTGCTTGTATCCAAAAACCTGGTGAGCCTGATCCTACTCTGTGCTTTTTCAGTTGTATGGATTGGTTCAAGATTTTTCAAGGAAGAGGAATTTTTATCAAAGGAGCAGAATACAAAACATTTGTCAACAGTAGCACACTAAGTTTTTAACTGATACAGGAACTCCTAATACCAAGACTGCGTTTTTCATCTCAAAACCAGTCTTTCATCATTCATTGGTTTAACTTTTTTGAGTTGAGTTTCTGAGACATAAATTATTAATTAATAAAGAAACATCAAGATCTGTTATGGTCCTACTTCCCTTTATGGATAAAAACAGAAAAAGAAATACAGGAATTCTTTTTGAAGTACGCTTTATATTAAGTTTGGTAGCATGTTTTGTTTAATTACAGAAGTTCAGTTCATTCATTATATCTTTCTTAGGATATCAGCTGCAATGAACTTCAGGTTCTTCCCCAGCAGATAGGAAAATTGCAGTCACTTAGAGAATTAAACATAAGAAGAAATAATCTCCATATGTTGCCAGATGGTAAGCTACTAGTCTTCTTTTCTTTGAAGAAGGTAAATTAGGTGTTAAGTGTTAAGAAGACACCTGATTTTTTGTGCTTTGTTTTGTTTCTCCCAATACAGAATTAGGAGACCTTCCCTTGGTAAAGCTGGATTTTTCTTGTAATAAAATCACAGAAATTCCAATTTGTTACAGGAAGTTGCGTCACTTACAAGTTATAGTTTTGGATAACAATCCAATGCAGATACCACCAGCCCAGGTTGGTATAAAAATATTCCAGGTCTGTAATTTGCATAAGGATCTTAAGAAAGAGGAAGCTGCTCTAAGTTACACCAATCTGGTTTTCTCTATTTTTAACTGCATTTCTCTTAGTATGAAGTTGTGGCTACAAACTCGTTGTAGAAGGTATTTGTTGGGGTGCATTTCCAAAAGACATGCTATGTAATCAACATTTATTTCTGTTTGTTTCCCAACAGATATGTCTAAAGGGTAAAGTACATATATTTAAATTCCTCAGCATTCAGGCGTGCCTCAGAATAGATAAGAAACCAGATTCTTTGGATCTTCAGTCATTAGGTAAACGAATCCCCTCCCAGCCACTCACAGACAGGTGAGTAGTGGGTTTTTTAGTAGCTGTAATTTCAATACTTCAGTTGTCCTTTATTTAGGAGTCTTAGTATTTATTTTCTAAAATTATGTTGCTGGAAACTTAATTGTCTCATCTGAGTTGCTATGAAAAGATTTGGAAAACAGAACAAAGATGCATTTAAAATATATTTATTGGAAAACTCATCTATTTATTACCCAAGCAGGCAAGTCAACAATAGGTGAGAAATTCCCATAAATGTCTGGAATATAGAAAGTCTGTCTCCCACATACATATTAAGGGAAACTAACTTAAACATGAGTGAAATACCATGGATTTTTAAATTAGATTATTTGAGGTCAAAAAGTGCAGAATATTTTATCATAGAATCATAGAATGGTTTGGGTTGGAAGAGACCTTGAAGATCATCTAGTTCTAACCCCCTGCATGGGCAGGGACACCTCCTACTAGACCTGGTTGCTCAGAGGCTCATCCAACCTGCCCTTCCAAGTCCACTTTTGTTGGACTGGTGGCACTGAATAACTCTACTACTAGTAGAAAACCATGTCTGCCAATAGAATTCAAGGAATTGTGGTTTCTCAGAGGAAGCTTTCTTTCCTGGAGATGATATTTTTGAACGGAATAGAACAATTCTGAAATGGCACAGACACAGGGAATTCCACAACTGATAATTTCCACTTGAACTTTGCTTTGATATTTTCTTCTTGAACAACTCTTGTCAGAGATTAATAATTTCTTCTCTGCACAAGGGCATTGTGCAGAAATTCTGTATTAGCAACTGCAGATGAGTATAGAGAATATATTTATAAAGGATGTTTCTTTTCCTTTAGAAAAGAGAAACTACTGTTTGTTTTTTGTGTCTTGTTTTTCTTAACATAGCATTGAAGACTTTTATCCCAATAAAAATCATGGACCAGACTCTGGCATCGGGAGTGATAATGGAGATAAAAGGTTGTCCACAACAGAAGTGAGTATTTTTCTCTGCTGAATTTGTGAAATTTCTTTTTTTTTTAGAATTCTAGACACAAATTACTTACACATTGCTTTGACTTTCTGGTTAAGGTTCATTTCAGTCCAAATTTTATACATTTTCAAACTGAATTCTGACCTAAAGATGTATTTTTGTATTTTAAGATGTGAAGTGCATAATCAATCTTTATACAAAGACAAAATCTATTTGAAACTTTCTTCTGTTATTAATGAAATAAATTTACTTAAGGAAATGAAAGTTTATTTGTACTAAACTCATGAATTGAATATGTTAGTAGTACTCATTGTTTAAATTCTAATAAACTTCTGGATGATTTGATAGGTTTAAAGACATGAACAAAAATCCCCTCAAGTTATCTGTGTGTTTGTAGAACTGGAGATGAAGGAGCTGTGGTTAATAACAGTGATGTCAAAGCTGAGTAGTGTAGCACAAAAAAACTTTGAAACTTAGAAAATTATTACAAATGCAGTGTGGTAGTTATCAGGAAAACTGTAGAACAGGGAGTAAAACTAGTAGAGATTTTTGCAAGAAAATTCCAAATTATCAGAAGCAAAGATGAGAGTTTTTTTCAGTGGTGTAACAAGGGGCAAAGTTAATTTGCGACTTTGGATAAGAAAGTACCTAAGTACAGATTTATTAGTCCACTGACTGGGGCTGGACAGGAAATCTTTGGACAAAATATTGTATTTTAATATTATATCATGCAGTGAACAGTTTTCTGTCACTCCTTAAACTGATTCTCTTAAACTCCCTTCCAACCCCCTCAAATTATAACCCACCCACAAAAAAAAAATCCCACCTGACTTGATGTTCTTTCTCTGTCCTGGGAGCCATCCCTCATGATGGGGTTAGGTTAGTTGCACTCTAATTTGTGAGTTCTTAGGAAACAATGGAGTAATGTAATTTATGTATAAGTTCTGTATCAAATATGACTGTCTTTGCAGCCATCTGATGATGATACAATCAGCCTTCACTCCCAGGTATCAGAATCAACAAGGGAACAGACATTAAGGAATGACAATCAAGTAACGGGAAGTAAACTTGACCCACAGAAAGGTAATACCTGCTGTGCATCTGTCACTTTAGGTAACAGGTTTTGCTTAGATAATCTAAGAGAAAATTCCCCAATATTTACAATAACATGTTGGCATTGTATTCTCATAATTTCAAAGAACAAGGTAACAATCACAAATAGACAAGTTCAGAAGGAAAATTTTAAAAATACTATTTCTAGCTCCAGGAGGCATGATTGAATAGTTTCATCTTTCTGACATTTTTCATAAGTATTCTTTCAGGAATAACATATGGTTGAGAGAACTGTTTAATATAATCTTTTTCATTCTTAATCCTCACTAGACCAGGAGGTGTATGACTACATTGATCCAAATGCAGAAGAGGGAGCTGTTCCTGAGCAAGGAGACACACAGATTGGACCATTGCTGTCCTATATCAAGGTAGCATGGCTTGACAAAAGAGAACCTGTACAGCAGGCTTGGATTTTGTTTTAATTCAAGCCTAAGTTTATTTTTCATTCTGTTCAAGGAACGGGCAAAACATCCTGAGAAATCCCAGAAAATAGAACTGAATGAGGACTGGGCAGATGAAAAGAGGTAAAGATTGATCTTTGGGAAGGTTTTACCAACAGTGAGAGGGTGAGGGTGGTTTTGTTTTAAGCACCTTGCATATGAAGGAAAGAAATCTCATCCTGAGCACACAGAGTGGTCCTTCTTGGAAAACAAGCTTTAAGATGCTCTTTTAGTTATTGTCTAACAATGTAGTCATTTTTTTGTCAGGCAATTCACTAATGTTTGTTTGTTCAGACTTCAGAAGAAACAGCTGCTGGCAGAAGATGATGATGAGCTCAAAGAAGTGACTGACTTGAGAAAAATAGCAGCTCAATTACTGCAGCAAGAACAAAAACACAGGTATTACAACATAACTTGTGTTACAGTTAATTTATTCTTTAACCTACCTTATATCCAGAAGCTGTTGACACCTTATCGTTTTGACAGCAGTTTTGTCCATCTGTCAAACAGTTACAGTGACTCTTCCAAAATATCTCTCCTGTGTTTCTTTTAATAAAATTGCTGCTTGGAGAAGCAGTGATATGCTTCCTATGGAGAGGAAGAGATGAATGTGAAAGTCTGTTGATTTCCTGGTTTGATGTATGTTAACTTTCTTCTATTTTTTATGAGCTAATGCTTATCTAAGTAGATTATTGGTAACATGCTAAAATTACTTTTTCTTAGTTTATATGAGTTACAGAACCTGCAAACAGTTCTTGTGACTCATTATTTTTCTTCAAGTACAAGGTAATTCAGGTGGTACATCATTCATTCTGATGTAAGATGTCCTGTGGACTGAAGGGAAAATTAATTAAAACATTGTTCTGTCAAATGTTTCTGTAAAAAGAAATACTTTAAACAGTGTAAGTTCATCATGGTGAACTGCCTGACTTTCTGTGCTTGGTGTTGGGCATCACAACAGAATGATTCCTGAAAAGGACCTGTAAAACAAGCAGCAGATCAAAAGAATGTAATAGAAAAAATTAACAACTGTATACATTCAAGAGCAGGAAGGAATACCTGGAGTTTCATAGGATGTGGAGGGGCTTAGGTAGGAACAGTGTTCTCTCTGGTTTCTTTACCAAGCAGGCAAATAACCAGTGAGGCACTTGGGCGAGAGTAAACTCTTTCCTGAAAAGTAAAACTTATTAATTGTCGTTAGTTAACTAAGATAGTTCATTACAGTCATTCATTATTCCACAGTCATGGATTTAACTTCGTAAATACAATCTTTGTTTCTTTTGAGTTTTTGTGTACTGCTGGTTTTCTTTTAAGAGAGTTGAAATACACATGAAGCCCTCAGCAAAATTTATATCCTGATGCTATGAATTGCAGAGCTTCACTAAATTCATCAGTGTTTTGTATTTGGTTTTTGTATTTGCAAGTGTGTGTGTGTGTGGCTGTGTGTGTGAAGGATAAAATAGATCTTGCTTCTAACTCCATGGAATGTATTTAAGAATTGGTTGTTCATACTGGGAAGGGATAAATAAGAATGAAACCTTAATCCTGATACATTCTTATTACCACAAGTACTGCAAAAAAAGACTTAAGAATGCTACATTTTCTTGTATTTTTTAATGAAGAGTGTTTTACTTATATTAGGTTTTAAAATTAGTTATTTATATTGCATGTAGGTGTTGTTTGAGTAGTTTTAATATTACCTGGTTTTCTAATAATTTGAAATACCAAGCCAGTCCTCTTCTGAAGTACTGCAGCTTAAATTTTACTCACCATATGTTGTTGTATCCTAGTGCAGTGATCTTGCCCAATGGTTCTGCTTTGCTCTTGAGTTTTTCAGACATACACAGTCTTACTAGTTAGCTTAGCCTTTGTGTTTTAGCCTTGCTTATGTATCTTTGCATACATGGGGGCAAAATCACATATGATACAACATTTCACCCAACTGGTAGTTTTGTGACTTTGTAATTTCTTGCCATAAACAGCAATAAGTATAATATGTAGAAGTTCAGCAAAGACATTTCTGTGTTTCTGTGGCAAATATGTTTGGTCTGAGTAAACAGATTCCTCAGAAAAGTGAGCATCACAAAAGAACTTCTTACTAATCGTGTTTCTGTTTGTATGGTGTGTTTTTTGTAAATATGATGTAGCCTCTTTTCTTTTTGCTTGCTATGCTAATGACTTCCCTGTCCTCTCCCATCAACCTATCCTGCTTCCTTCTTCCGTCTGTGGCTTTGGTGTACATGACATGTGAATACAGACGAAGGCCATTAAGCTATAGAACTTCATTCAGTGAAAAACTCTTCCAGAGGACCAGGGCGGCAGGACGTGCATCAAGGTATAAAGTGTTTGTAGAACTTGAGATTTCCAAAGTGAAAATGTGGACACAAGAAACAGTTTTGGCCAGTTCTTGAACCAAAACAGAATAAAGGGGTTGGCTAAGTTAGCCTAAGGTATTTTGGTATCAAAAATAGGTTGTAGAGTATTTATTGTTCTTTGAGATGAAATACTATTTAAGGAAAATATTTTCATTAGGCAACTCTCCAAAGAACAATTAATGAGTCCAAACCTAGAAGCATAATTTCCTGTACCTTTGGCATGCTTTCTCTTAATTTTGCTGTTGTTTTGTTTTTTAATAGATAGTACCTTAAATACAGAACTTCAGGCAAAAGAGGTTTTTTTATTTAAGGTATCTTGGGTGTAAAGTGCTAATTTTCAAATTAGCATGGCCATTTTGTCAGGTTGTTTTCAGTTTGACAGGGAAACACTTGCAGATACACAAACCTCACAGGTAACAGTCTGAAATGGGCTGTGTACACTGGACTCCTAGGTCTACATGATGAGTTAAGTGATTTCAGACTTGGTTACTTTATTAGTTGAAACTGTTACTTACTCTGGATACTCCTGGTCTGTTTCAAAAGGAAGTAGGGTCTGTTTCAGTTTGCATCAAAGTTAATTATGATTTCTTACCTGACAGCACTGACTTTCTAGAACTGTCTACATCCTTAAGAGCACAGCTCACTGTCATAAAGGAGAGCCTTATGTGAAGGCATTAGATTGCTCCTCATTCAAGATTAAATTCCATAAATTTTTTGTCGCACTGTAAAAGCTTTCTAGTCTCTTTAAACACTTTATAGATCCTGGGTAGTGCTTCCTTGTTTCAGCTTGAAGATAGCTAACCTTAAAAATACCATTATAATCAGTCACTTAATTTGTGTCCCTTAATCATGATGTTATGTTTGCTCAAAATAGGAAAGTATAAGTGATTCAGAAGAGGTTCCACTCTTCAAATTCTCAAACTTTAGAAAATATTTTCTAATACCATAATTGGTCTTGCCATTTCCTTCTCTCCCATCTAGCCAGAATTTTGGAATAGGAGTTAAGCTTGCATGATGTCAAAATAGACTAATGAGTCAAAATGTTGGCTGTTTTTAGTTTAATATATATAAATTTGTCATTGTATATGTGCATTGGTTAATTTACATTTCAAACTTTGTATGACTTTTAGAACCCTTTCAAAGTACTAATTTGTGTGCTGCCTCTGTGACACCTGAATTTGTGTGGTTTCCATAAGTAGGAAGTTAATTGCAGTGCCAACACAAATGTCTTCTGCAAGGTCTGTCTCAGTGTTTCAGTGTGACCATCAGAAAGTCATTGACCTGATAATTCATCTGTCTAATAATAAAAAAAAGGTGATTTAAATGAGTTGTATGAATGGAAGGAGTTGCTGAGCTCCTTGAACTTTCATTTTGCGTACTCAATTTTGCATTGTATTTCCTGGAAGACAGTTCTTAACTCTACTGCAGGTTTCTTTTCCTCTTTCAACTGAGTATACTACTTTGCCATGAATTCCTTAGTTTGCAACGTAGTAAATTTGGATTAATTTTCTTCACTATTTAACTAAAAACTTTCAATTCCTTCTTCTACAGGAAATTCAGGTTTTCTGACATGAGTAGTAACTGTTAACCTGACAGATGCTGAACATGCTGTTACTTCCCCATCAATATTCTTTAGTTTTTAAACAGGAAGTTTCAAAAAGGGTTGTTAAAAAGCCCTTAACACAAAGAAAGGATGGAAATATACTTTGTTTATAATAAACTTAGTTTATAATAAACCCAAACATCGATTATATACATTTCATGGAAACAGTGTAGCTGAACAGTGTGTGTATATGTTGTATTGGCTTGAATAGTTTTGCCTTACATTTTGTAGAGTGAGTATTGAAAAGTGGCTTGTATTACATACAATTATTTAGTTTACACCATTAATGCCAGTTTTGGAGCAGGTACTGATTCAGACTGTTTGGGTGACTCCAATTTCAATTATTTTTTTAAAAACCCATTTTATTGTAGTGGTCACATCTTGGTACAAAGTCTGAACTTGCCATTGCTTTCAGTTGAACATAAAATGCTAATTTAATGGGAATTCTCTAAAAAGTAGTAACTTCAAAATAGCATGGTTTGACAACCTATGCTCTATATATTAATTTTTTTCTAGCACTTTTTTTCAGGCTATATAATTTAACTCTGCAGTGCACCCTCAACATTAAGTTTCTAAAGACAGAATACAGAGAGCAGATGCTGCAGACTGTTGGTTTACAGGCTTAACTTCTCGTAATCCCATCCAATTGAGATTCACACAGAGATTTAAACTGCAAATGAGATTACTGAGCTCAAAGTTATCACAATAATGAGAGAAGTCTGATTGAAAAACATGAACCATTTAAAGTTAATGGTTGTACTGCCCCATGTAATAATGAAATATAAAAAGGTGCCTACTGTTTTGCTTCCTTCCATTGAAGAGTTGTTCTGATTCCTTAACACACTCTTGTTCTCTATAATTTAGTTTAAATATACACAGTTCTGCACATGAAGTCAGTGTCTTAAGTATAAAATTACTGCCTCCAAGAATTCAGAAATAATCATTCTAGTTACTGTTCAACATGACATTTACTTGAAAAGGTTTAAGTATTGCTGGTTGCTTGGTTATTTTTAACACTTTAAACATTTGCAGTAGCTCATATCTTCTTCCTGTGTGCACGTGTGTGGTATGTGTTTGTTCCAGATGAAAACACCATTTCTGCATCTATGTAAGTTTAGGCTTTTTTGACTGTTTCCTGTTTAGAAAAATGGAATTTCCATCGGTTCATTTCTGTGTTAGATGTTTAATTTCATTCTTAGTCTGTTTCTCCATTTGCCACCTCTCCTTTTCCTCTGCATTTCCTTTGCACTTGCAGTGTGTTTCTTCCTCAGCTACCTTACCTGCTTCTATTGACTGATTCCTGTGTTCAACCTATGGATCATTTCTTGTCTGGTTTAGGTTGACTGACCATCTTCTAATTTAGTGAACAGCGAGTCCTTTTCTGTTGAGTGCAGCATAACTTCAGAGGTGTGAGATCAGTTGAAACAGTGTATATGTAGGGAGAAAAATAAGAGGAGACTTCATTTGGGTTTGAATCATCAAGTTTTATTTAAAATTCAGATCTTGAAGTATTTCAAGAACTGGAAATAATACTGGTTTAAATGGAAGCAGGATTGGGCTTGGATTTCATGCATGTACACACATTCTGATTTTATGGGAAGTGTCACCTTAATTTTCAAAACTTTTGGTTTACAGGAAATGTTATGCCGTGACCTGTGTTCTAAAATAAGTGCTTAACTATAAAGCAGTTGGAGAAATATGTATTTTTTTTCTTTCCAGGCTTCTTAATAATTCTGTTTCCGCAAGCACAAGGAACAGGCCAAAGCAACCAATGGAATCTGAAAAATGGTATTGATATACTTTAACGTATGGCACCTTTCTTATTATTTTGATACTTATTTTGTGTCTCTGCTGCCACCTTCTGTCATAATATTTTGAGCTCAACATGGAATAGAAGCTACACAAATAACCTGTTCTCAAGCTTCTTCCTTTCAGATAAAAAATCCCAACACGTTCTTTCGAGCCTGTAGGAAAGTTGATGCTTTCAAAAGTAGCATCATTTATTTGAGGCAAACAGAAAGAAGGAAGGAAAAGGAGTACAAATATCAGAAGCTAAGTGCTTAGTGGCTTTCCCTTTGGGATTTATGATGGTTGCACATGGTGTTAAGTCCTTAAATTCAGCCCCCAGCTGTTTGCCCATTGGTAACACTGCACAGCTCCTGAGCCAACTGGTGGAGTGGGAATGGGGTGGCTGCTGGTAAGATGATAGAAGTGAATTTCACAAAAAGATTTAGGAGGAAAACTTTGAAGTGACACCAAATCTTCAGGCAGTCCATGTTCCAGAGTGGATTTTTGAGATTTTGTTGTTTCAATGTCCCATCTTAAAATGTTTTCCCTTCCCTATTAGCTTCTACAGAGCTAACAGTAAAAGGAAGCATGTGAGTCTTCCAGAAGTTTAAAAATAGATGTTTTGTCAGCTTGGAGAAAAATGTTTCTTTAGTTGCTTTGAGAAACAAATGAGTGGAGGTGCATTAATAGTCTCTAAAGATCAATATGTTTTTTTTAAAAAAAGCTTTTTTTCTGAATAATGTGCTGTGGTGTGGCAGACTTGTTGTGAGCATGTGGTGAAGGAGAGTGAAATGTGATTTGAGTTTATAGTCAAATCTTTTAGCCACTGTATACAAGTAGCCAAAAGATACTGTAGTGCTGCAGATTAGGAGCTTTCTAATAGTGTTTTTTATATATTTTGCAGTAAGTTGGTTTTGAAGTATACCAAAAATACAGTAAATTTTGTAATGCTTCTCCTCTTAATTTTTAGTATCTCAACAGAAGACGTAAATTCCTCTATGTCCACATACAGCTGGCAGGTAAATATCCAAATGCAAATGTGGTGGCTGAATGGTTAACTGATTTGTTCTGATTTTTGGTTTCTTATTTCTAACAGAAAACTTATGTACATTCATATGGTTACTTACACAGTTATTGTATGTTTGTAATTATAGTGGAAAATAGAAACCCTTTGAAGAACTTGCATTTCATGATGATTTGAATTGTCTGGAATGGTGCCTTTTCTTTTAGGAGCATGTGGTACTAGCTTTAAGATCTTGAAAGTAATGAGAAATAAATTTTAATTACATGATCTTTGTATTTCTTTACAAATAAATTTTATTGCCTCACCATAATGTTATTTTTCTAAAAAGAATTCTAAACACTTTGAATTCTGTTGGTCTTCCATTCCTCATGCCTCACTGAGAAACTTGCATGATATGATAGAATTGCAGTACTTCTTCATTATTTTAGATTTTAATCCATCAGATATTTACAATTGCTATAAATGGCTTGATATTCTAATATGAAGAAATAGTTGGAAATGTAATTATAGTCTTACTGCAAAATGATCCCTCCAGATTGCCTCCTTTCAGTTTTCTTAAAATAGATGTGTTTATGCATATTCATTGTTACTTTAAGGCTAAATCTGCTTTATCTGTCTCTTCAGAATATGTTGCAAAATACAATTTCCTGTACAGCCAGTTGACATGTATAATCATTTAGATAGGAACAGCAGACAAATACTTAAATTGTCTTGTTGTAGCCATCCTTTTCCTGGGCTTGGAGTATTCAGAGGGAGAAATTAGATACCCTAGTGGCTAACCACACTTTTGGGAAGTTACTTATGGCAGCTGTAGGTGGCTTCTTAACATACCTACAAAAATCAGGCTCAATGCAGAAAAGTGTGTTATTTTTTTAAGAATGATATCATAAATTCTTTTTCTTCTATGAAGTAGGATTTGAAAGGAAGTAAGTTATTTTGACCAGAATCACCATTAAGACTGATTAACACTTAACATGTCATAAAGCTTGATTATGAGAGGCAAACAGTTGGTAATTGTATTTCATAATAATTTGTGTTAATGCACACAAGGTGTAATTAACTTTTACCTAAACATATTTCTGAACCTTATAGCCAGTGGAAAACCAGAAGGATTCATTGGATGAGCAGCACTGGCCAGAAACACAGCCACTGATTTGGCAGAATGAAGAAAGAAGGAGGAGTAAACAAATTAGAAAAGAGTATTTCAAGGTAATGGGGGACAGTATGGGTAGGTGGCACTTTTAAAAATCAGAGTAGGAAAAACTATATAACTAAGTAAAGTTACATACTGTATATATATATATATATATATATATATAAAAAATTAAAATATATATATATAAAGATAACCTGAAAGGTTGTTATGCTTTTAATTATGTGTGTATCCTGTAATTTTTATTTGGCTCTTTTGAGTTTAATATATATGTGTGTATTTAGGGTAATGTAGAGAGTGCAGGAAAATCAGGAGGAAAAAAATTAACCAAAGACATTATTTATCCTTTAAATACCATAAAGGAATTTACAGTTGTCTTCTGATAAAGCAAGAAACTAATCTTCAAGTCATTGATCCTTCCCCATGTTGCCCATCCATTTTGAGGGACTTTTAGTGCAAGAAAAATATACATTTTGTGCAGCATGGTAATAAGAATGGTTGATGCATTTTGGTTCTCACTGCATTAGTTTGCATTTTAGAGAGGAAATTTTTTGTTACTTTCCTGCTGTAGTTTGTACCATTGTTCACCAGATGTCAGTGTCTGCCTAGTGCACAACAGATGCAAAGTTAGAGCAGCATTAAATAAAATCTGGTTTGGGGTATGGGATAGAAATAGGAGAATTCTGATCAGTGCTAGGTTGAGCTGAAATTAAATTTGTCGCTTAAGAAGTCAGTTTCTTGGGTAATTTTTTTCCCATCAAACATCTTTATGAAATGCAAGGGAACTTCAAAGAAATTAAATTCTGGGAAAAGGGAGCATGCCATACAGCTAAGATGCATTTTTTTACTGATGCAGCTAATTTTTTTTTCCCTGAAGAGTACATGGAGATGTATCCCACCTTGAATTTTACTGGCCTCTTTCCAGAATTTTCATCCAAAAATTATTTTTGCCCTGTGGCCTTGGAGAGGAAGGGGAGAAACTTCTAAGTAAAACAGAATTAAGTTACTTGACTCATTGAACAGCTGTGCTATCAATACAAAAGACTTGCATTAGTGATTCCTGGTAACTTTCAAGGATTGTCTTGAAATGCTAATGGAGATTTCAGTTTTGAGCTCTGATGGAAGCAGATACCTGAAATCACATTACCTATGGCTATAGAGGTGTCTCTGTAGTGAATTGAGCTTCTTGTACCAGTAACCAAAATATTACTGCATCACTGGTAGTTTTGCAAAAGCAAGGCAATAAACAAGTGTAATGAAGTCTGTCTTCCATGACAAACTGGGAAAGAAATAAAGGGTGTCGCTGGTGTTCTGAGAAACCAGTGAAAATACAATTCATATTGTGCCCATGGGACAGTGATGAAGGCAGTGCAAAACAAATTGGATGGACCTATGGAAAAAGTGCTGGTCTTAAATAGGGAAAAAGATGTGATCAGGCTTTGAAGTTGAATCAGAAATACTGAATTTATTTTCAATTGACTTTTTTTACAGTGTCAAGCCAGTCTCAAAAGTGTAACCAATCCAATCTTGAAGTTACATGAGAAAATATATTGTAAAAGGAACTTTCACAAGTTGCGTAGATTTTCCTAACTTGGATCAACTATCATATGAAGTCAGAGTTCACTTTATAGAAGTCCTTAGTTTTAAAATGCTCTTTTCCTCTCAGCCAGCATAGGGAAGATCTTGACTAACCTAGGAACTACATGTTCCTTTTCTGTTTTGTTTCTTTGTTGCTCCTTGGTGCTGCAACATGTTTTTTTCATAGCAGCTTCACCAGTAATAAGTAACATCTGAATGATATCAAGCCATTTAGTTCCAAAGAAAACCATGCTTCCATTTTAAAGTAATAATTATGTGTATTTTGCAGTATAAGTCTTCCAGGAAGAGTTCAAGTGGAAATGAAAATGATGAGGTGAGAAATAGTCATGGTGTAAAATATTTAAGAAAATGTTTTATTAATTTGTCTTTTATGAACACCTGGGAACAGGAGAATGTTGGCCATGCAAGCAAACTTTACATTCCAAAGCAGAAATAAGTATTATAATCCTTTGTTTGGAAAAAAGTCATCAAGATTGTGTACTGGGAAAAGCAGGACTTCTTCTTGCTTCAGTAATAGGAAAATTAATCCACCTATCAAGCAGAGTCATGGAAAAGTAATATTCAACATTATCAGTGAACACTTACATGTTTTTCAATATAGTTGCTGTCAGTTTGTTGAATACTTGACAAATGTTGCATCTCATGTAATGTGTATTTCATGATTTCTGTTTCTTGTTAAATCATATTTTTCATTTTTATAATTTCGTATCTTTGATTTCTTTTTAGCAAGACAGTGATAATACTAATGTGTCTCCACAGTCTCCTGTGTCATCTGAGGTTTGTGATGTTTTGTGTGTGGTTTTTTTTCGGTCAGCAAACGTGTATTTGTGTGCATTACTTGTCATCAGGTTTTCCATGCAGATGTAAAGCTGTTAGTTTGCTCTGAAACTGCAATTAGAAATATTTCATCATAGTAAAAATTCAAAAATAGATAGAAGCCAGAGACAGGTAGTACAGCTTGCTTTACCTTTGCAACTGTCTGATCTCTCCTAAATGTCTTTATGACTGGTGTGTAGAAATGTGCTTTGTCTCCGTTATCTTTCCATATGAAAGTAGCTATTTAAGCTATTTTGGTGGGTGGTGAGACAATGGCACAGTTTGCCCAGGGAAGTTTTGGAAACCCTATCCCTGGAAGTTGGATGGGGCTTGGAGCAACCTGGTCTAGTGGGAGGTGTCCCTGCCCATGCAGGGGGTTGGAACTAGGTGATTTTTAAGGTCCCTTCCAACCCAAACCATTCCTTGATTCTGTGATATCTTGTAGGTGTCCTCTGTGCACTAGACATCCAGAGGATTTGTAGTAAAACTTGGGGCATTATATGTAATATTTCACAGGGAATCCAAAGGTACTGACACTTTTTAGAAAAGAGTTTCATTCTTCACAGTTCTGGTTTTTGGCCTTGTGGTGCAATCTTGGGGCTTTGTTCACTGGTTGCTTTCCTTTTTAAGAAATGTCCATGCAGTCTGAAGATGGCTGCACTGATCTGCTGAGCTCTGAATTTATTAAAATTCAAAATACACCAAAGATGATTAACATTTTCACCTCGTGTCAATAAGGAACCTGAGGGAGCAGAGTGAGAACATCTCCCAAATGCAGTGAAATGAGTTGAAGTAAGGATATTTTGTGAACATACCAAATTACTGAGTGCATCTCTTTTTAGATGATGAAGTAAGAAAAACCTGATCTTCATCATTGAAAGTAAATATTTCTTAAGAAATATTTTGCTGCTAAGTGTTGGGACGATATTTGCATTTGCTTACAGCTGGCTTTGATGCTGCTCACAGAATGGTTTGCAGTAGTTTGAAATAGTTTGGAGTGGATTTTAGTTAATCTGGTCCTGCTTTTCTTCCTCAGTAAGATAATTTTTTCTGCATGTAGTGAGGCTACTTTCATTCCACTTATGTTATACTGTCCCCTTCCAAAGAGCATGTTACAGTTAAGCAAAAAGACTCACTTTTCTTAGTGGAGACTATTTGAAACACCATCTTGATGGGAACAGAAGTTAATTCTTTCAATGAATGGAATTAAATGGGCTTTTTCTTTTAACAGGATTATGAAAGGACAGATAGTAACACTCATGGTCCATTTGGTCTCAAACCAAGGTCAGGTAAGCTGCTGTTCTCTTAACATAGCATGATAGAACAGATGTTTAGATCCCAGGCTGGAATAGATGGTAAGGATAGCAGATGGATGGACTGGAATGAATATGAACAAACACCACAGTCCAGCAATCCACAAGCATCCAACTGGGAAAGGCATGGACAGCTGCTTTGGCAAATAGATATTTGAAAGTTCCTTTATCACTAATTCACTACAAATGAACACCCAACACATGCAGATGTGTATGTGTATATTTATATATTTAAGTCTTTCATTATAAGTTATATCAGGGACTTCTGTCCCTTTTTTTGGTCTTCACAAAGACTTTATACTTGGTTAAAAGGAACACACGATGAAAATATCTTCCAAGCTAGATTGTGAGATGTGGTTAGGAAAGTGCAAATGGAGTGTAGAACTCAAACAGTTATTTGAATATTGAAGTAAATTCTGTGTCCATATTTTCTAATTATCCATTTGCACTTAAGTAAGATATCTGTATTTTATTTGACAGAGAAGTTTCCCCGACAGCATCTTTTACAGAAGGATACTTAAATATGTTGCTTCTGAAAAGTTCTGCAGCTTTTTTTCCCGTTTTTGTCCTTGGTGGTAGATTTTAGGTCATTGCATGTTCAAAATCTGAATTCTGAAAACTAACTTCACTGATGTTTTGTAGCTTTCAGCCGTGCATCTCGCCAGGACTATGGTGCAGTGGATCCTGGATTCACAATGAGGAGGAAAATGGAGCATTTAAGGGAAGAAAGAGAACAAATAAGACAGCTTCGCAATGTAGGTGCCATTATTTTATATACGGGTGCAGTGCATTTAGTTTGCTACTTACCACAATTTAAACCTTTACTATAAAGGTCTCCAAATCATTATGTTTGTAACAAGAGCATCTCTGCAGTGATATTTCTTCCTAAGGAATTTAACTGAAGAGGCTACAGTAGTGCTATTTTTGGTACAACCAAAATGCCAACCAGGAACTATGCAAGTGTGGGTGCTTCTTGGCCACCCTTTAACAGCTGTTTAACTTGTCACAAATCAATTGGCCATGCCCAAAGTGGTTGTGCTCCCCTCTTCTTCTCCTGGTAAAACTGTGTATGATTTGAACCCACAGATTCTACCCACTAGCAGCTAATGAGGTATTCAGCCTAATATGTGTCTCCTTAAATTATGAGTAGTGAGTTCATTGTGTGGCTTTGAGAGCTATGGGTCATGGTATTGTTGGCTGAGGGTCTTTCTCAATGTCTGTAGTTGAGAAAGTAAGAAGTTGAATTAAAGAAAGAAAAACAAAAAGCAAAGGGAATGTAAGGTGAATGATAAAGAGAAAAGGGCATTTGTACTCAGTAGAGTGTGAATTGTCTCCATTTACTTCATTTTAGTATTAAAATATCCCCTTTAAACTGAATACTCTACAATGAAACGTGAAAAAATTAGCTAAAGTTGAAGGTAACTGACTTTTGCATTTCCATTTAGAATCTTGAATCAAGGTTAAAAGTGATTTTGCCAGACGACATTGGAGCAGCACTGATGGATGGAGTAGTTCTTTGCCATTTGGCCAATCACATAAGGCCACGTTCTGTAGCCAGCATCCATGTCCCATCACCAGCAGTGGTAAGTCATTAATCTCACTTCTCTTACATCCTACATATAGAAAGCCTTTGGGAATTCAACACTAAACCACCATGAATCGTGTTTACTCTATTAGTTTGCTACATTCCTCACTTCATTTTTTCCCTGAGAAACCTTAAACAAGGCTCAGAAGTTTCCTTCAAGAGCTATTTTCATTTACCAAGTCTTCATAAAATCTGGTTTGTGTTTTTAGCAACTGTTACTGAATTTGCATCAGAAATACATAATCCTTCATGCCTGTGTGATGATGTTCTAACATTCTGTCTTTACAGCCTAAACTCAGTATGGCAAAGTGCCGAAGAAATGTTGAAAACTTTCTGGATGCTTGTAAAAAATTGGGTGTTCCACAGGTATCCTCATTGCTTTTATTGACTTGTTATTCATAACCACAGAAATTGCCAGCAAATACTGAAGTTGGGTTTTTTGGGGCCTTAATTCAGGGAGCAATAGTGATTATAACACTGACCAGGGAACGTGAATATATGGAAGAAGTCCCATTTCTGGCCTGTGGCATGAACTTGAGGAAGCTACTTTATGGGTTTCTAGTCAGTTCCTTACAGTAAAAATAATAGATGTGGTGCTGAGGGACATGGTTTAGTGGTGGACTTGGCAGTGCTGGGTTTGGTTGGGCTTGATGATCTTAAAGGTCTCTTCTACAGAAAGAATTCTGTGATTCTACGAGTGACCTCCTGGTAAAATAAGTTATCTAAACAAAAGAGCTGATGCAAGAGGATGATGTTGTAATATATGATAGTCTTGAGTTTAGCAACTCACTTTGGCATGAATTTCAGTGTCTGCCTAGGAAGAATCCTGCAATTACAGAAATGAGGCCTAACTAATTAGCTATTTTTTTAGCACATTGCAGGCATTCATGCTTCTGTTGCCCAAGCTCATCCTCTTTCCTGTGTTGCTGGGTTACTGCTCTACCACAGCTTCTATCTAATGTGGAGCTACAGGCCATTCAGAAGTCAGATATGCTAAGATTTACATCATGAATCACATGAAATACCAGCTAGCCATTGGGAAAATTACCCAGCTTGTGCTGAGTTTTGAAAAATGACTGGTTTGGAGAATTTGGCTCATTACTGAAGTCTATCAGTGCTTCCAAGTTTTCCCATGGAAAAAGTTGGTAATAAGCCTGCAATACAAAGGAAAGGGAAAGTAGGCTACTGAGCCAGCAGTGATCATCAGCCTGTTTTTCTGAAAAGAAACAGAGTTTTTGGCTGTATGAAGTTAGTCTTTTATGTATCATCCAGTGTTGTAGTTTAACACTTAAAACAGATGTTAGGTACAGTTAATTTCTGGAGAAAACCACATGTGAAACTGAAAATCAAAGACGTTTTATATATAAGTGTCTTAGTGGTGTTTGTGTGACTTCAGAGAGAACGTGTTTGTTTCCTGGGGGAAAAAATGAAGTAAGCTTGATACGTAGACCTCTTTGTTTTGCAGGAGAGACTTTGCTTGCCTCACCACATTCTGGAGGAAAGGGGTCTGGTGAAGGTTGGCCTCACAGTTCAAGCCCTGCTTGAGTTGCCAGCGTTGAAAGTATCTCAGCTTTCTTCCATGTGACGTGGCTTCTTGGAAGCCAGACAACTTCCCATTCAGTCTGTTGATTTGGATTGCTTTGAGGCAGTTCAGCTTCCTACGTGGGAACATCCAAGCCATCAAGAACTAGTATCTGTCCAAATGCTGTAGAGAGCCTTACTTTGGAGTTGTACATGAAAACCTTGGAGTCAGCTGACAGTGAAAAGAACATCAATATTCCTCTTGGGTTTTTTTTTCCCTTTTGCAGTTGGATGCACAAAGAGATCTTGGTAGCATCAGGTTCTCTTCCCTCACCAGTTAATTTAAGTTAAAAGCTGCCATTTAACATCTCACAGTGTTAGTTAAATGCTGGATTTCTTTTCCTACGATGAAAATGAATTCTTTTAGAAGTACCAAGCACACCCCTCCCTCAAGTTCATCTTTCAAGTCAATCATTTGATTTCAAAGTAGACAAAAATGTAGCGATGGTAACGATGCGAGTGACTGATCCCTTGTCATCCACTTCTCCTGTCTCAGAAAGCTTAAGATTTGCATTCTTTATTTTTTGCACTCCTGATTGTAACTTACACACACTTCTAACATTGCCAGTATTTAGTCTGAGTCTATGGTGATGACACAAAGCAGTATAACCATGGGAAAAGGACACATTTTAGTGAGTTTTTTCCAGTCTTCTAGGTTGGTGCCAAATATTTTTTTCAGTTGTACTGTAGATTGTTTACATGTGAAGTGCCTGTGTAATTGATAACTCTTAATAGTCTTAAACATTTTGGAAATTCCTTTGTTTAAAATAGACAAAATGGAAATTTTTAAATATTTTAATAGTTTTTTGTAAACTCAGTATGTGAAGATTGAAGTAATACTTCACATTTTTGATGTTGGATGTTTTACGTTTGTTGCACAATTTAATTGGTTGTTTTGTTGTCTTAATAATTAGAAGATACTGTAAATACTTCTTATTTATGATATTTAATTTGATAATAGCTAATCACTTTTGGTTTAATGTATTGTTGGAAAAAAGTTGTCTACTTTTCTTTGCTTGGGACAAACAAGTACACACAGTGAGGAAGACATGAGGACTAGTAATGCATACAGAGTAATTTAGGACATTTTGATAAAACTGCCAAAATCTCAGGTTTATGCTGTGACTTTCAGGATTTTGTGTAATATTACTCCTGATGTCATGTCACATTTTAAAACAGGTATATCCATAATTTAGTTGAGAAATATCAGTGTTTATCCTTTTAGTGTTTATGGGATTTATTGTGGAATTGACACAAGTGTGGCAAAGCACACCAATCACTTTGTTCACGTCACTGTGCTGAGACATTAGGCTTTGCTGGATAAATGTGAAAAAGAAACATTTCCACTATGATGGTTTCTTGAAACTTCCAGGTTTTATGTATTCCTTTGCTTCTGCACAAATTCTTAGTATTTTGAGAACAGGCTGAAACCATACACAGTTCAATTCTTCTCTGAACAAGTTGCAGATCATTCTAACGTTTCAGTAATATCTGTTTGCATTAGTTTGTTCTTCATTAATAGGCAGCTCAATTAAAACAAAAAGAACTTCTGACTTTTTTTTATTTCAGGCTAAGTTAATTTCAGCTGAGGGGTATGTTTTCCAACCATGTAACAAGATTTTATTATTTCCAATTGATCAAGATCCCATGTAATACAATTCATAAAAGAATTAAGAAAGGATGTAATTTGCTTCTTACTTCCTTGACTACAGTCCTTAAAATCAGTAGCTGAGAGAAACAATAACCTTTTTCTGATGACAAGATTTTTTGTTTAAAGACGTATTATTTTTAAATCCATTGAAACAAGCTGATTCATGTGTAACAGTTTAAAAAACCACTTATTTATATAGTATTTTCTTAAAATACAGCTTGTGTGGAGGCTGATGTCAAACTTAATTTGCAAAGTCCTGGGTGTACAAATCTTAGGTTACATAAATACCTGTTTAAGGAAACTGGATTGCTTTGAAATATGGTATTTCAAATCTCTCTTTTTTAAATCATTCAAATCACACTCATTTTAACTACTTCAGTGTCTTATTTTTCTTTAAAGGCAGTATCTGAAAACTCATACTAAGACTAAAATGGAAATAGAGCAAAATAGAATTGAGCAAAATACTTATTTGCTTCATTTGAAGAACATAACTATTCAAAAAGAAAGTCTTTGTCCTTCAACTCATTGCTCTGGTATTTGACAACAACAACAGTTTGATTTCAATATATTAACCATACAATTGCTAACTTAAAATTGTCACTTTCTGTTATCTGGCTTAAAATGATCTATATTATTCTTTCATAATGATATTTAAATGTTTTCTGACCTTAAAGTAGCTGTTTTCCTACTAGAACTAAATTGATGAAGTTACATCACGGTGTGATCATGAGGAATTCCCTGGATGTAGCATGCCAGATCCTTACCAGGTTTTTTTAAGTTTAGCTTGTTTCTTAAATAGCTTAAGAAATGGGTATGAAGTTAATGTATTGATTTTAAACTGTCTTTGAAGTTGAAAATTACAAAAATCACCTTTTTTTTTTTTAAGTATTCTGGAGTTCTTCCCCAGAAACTTGGTAGAAACAGTCTTGCTTTGCCATTCACTGGAAATTATTATGCCTTTAAGTTTATGGGAAGCATTATCATGACTCTTCCAGGGCTTCCTTTTTAGTGGTGCAAAGATTAAGGCCTTCAAGTATCCTTAGGAGCAGCCTGAGAAGAGATCCTCTGTGGCTGGATGAATTTTTTTCTCATCTTTCTTTAGCTGCTTTTACAAATGATAATAATCAAAAGCTTTGCTAAAGTTGACTGTTTCTATCATGATTTATTTTTTTAGCAGCATCTGCCAAAAAAGCTGTCAAGAAAGGTTTGAATTTGAGGTTTGAAGTTTAGGTTTGAATTTTAAAGCAGCCTGTAGGAATTGTTGCTGTCTTCCCTGGATGAGAATTTGTCAGCAATCCCCTTTCTGCCTTTTCATTTGGTTCCCACCATCTTCTTACTGATTTTAGTTGCTCACATATGGAGTGACTTGGCATTGTTTATTGCTGCAAGCCACATTCCTCCGTCCTCTTGATTCTTTTTAAAGAAGCTGCTTCAGTGGCACTGGTGAACAACTGTCATTCCAGAATCCCTGCTCCCAACATTCAGTATCTTTGGAATATCCTTTTCCTATTTTATTTAACATTCAATGCCATTACTTAATACTTGGTCCAGCTGATAAGATGGTTAAAAACAGAGGCCTGCCCAGTTCCTAATGTAGTTGCTCAGTTTTTACTTTGTGCTTGAAGGAAAATCCACATTAAAAGCTTTAGGAAGCTGCATGAAGTTTTCCTAATAGATTTAAGAGTTAACTAGGGTGCTTTTGTTATTGTGAATGTTACACAAAGTTACTGCAATAATGTGATATGAGCTGTAAATTGGAGTGAATCAACATAGTGACAGGGCTTCTGGCCTTGTGCATCATTGAATGCAGGATGTTGCATGTGAATGTTCTTTCATTTAAGCAATAATATGCCAGATATTGTGAGATCTTAAAGCAGTGGCATTCAAATCATTTTTACCAAGTGTGGTGACTTCCCCACCCAGAAATGTTTCACATCTGCTGTGTTGTACTGAGACACTGCTGGGGGTGCAGCAAAATATCTATACTCATGTACCTGGAGGCCTTCCAAAGTATGACCAAGAACAAAAATCATCATCAAACAATGAGGAAAGAATTGAATTTAAAAAATAGATTGAAATTATAAATAACTATGACATGAAGCATGAGAACTTCTGCAGAAAATTCTGGCTTTACTGAAGGCAATGCAAGTTTTGCTCTCAGCTTCACTAGAGTTTCCACCTCTTTGTTTTATGGAACACCTGAGCTGGAGACCATGGGAAATGCGGGTTAAATTTGTTGAAGACTAGAAAAGCTATAGTGTCAAATTCTTGACTAAAAATGGTGATCTCTGGTAAGTCAAAGGAAGCTGGAAAATATTACACAGATTCATACAAATTTCCTAATGTGCCAGATACAGTGTTGAGATGGTAGGAAAGCTCAGCTGTCATAGCAGGGCAACGTGTGTCACCTCAATAAAATTGCAGGTGAGGGCTACGTCAGTTACTTGCTGCACTAAAAACTTTGATTTCAAATACCATGTAGTGTCAGTCTTCTCAGACTGTACCATAAATTTGTAGCCAAATTCAAACAAAAAAAAAAATGAGAAGGCATTTGTTTGACTAAAATCAAATCTTGAGATTGAAGAGAATCTTCCATCTTCCTTCTGGTGATCCCTGAAATGCTTGTATGAAGGGCAGACAGCTGCAGTTGGCCTGTTTATCTCAGAGTAGTCTGTGTACTGATGCAGAGATAAAGCATGTTAATCATTGAACTGATTTTCATCTGAAAGCAACTTATGGGAGTTTCTAGCACTTCCTGTCCATAGGAGAGGATTTTGGTCAGGCTAATGGATGTGGTTCTTCCAGGAGGTACATCACGTTAACCAGTGATGACCTCTGCTTGAAAAAACAAGCAAATAAACCAAACACCCCCAAAACTAGCAACGTGTTTCCTTTTTACAGCTGACTCTTTGGAATTTATTTTAAAAAAAAAAAGGGGGGGG